AGGAATGATGTAAGCAGCAGTGTCTAGAGGGAGATGTTTATCTTTCATTTTATTCTAAGGATCATTAGGTCTGGGGATCTGGCAGGGCTGTGTTGGAAACAAGATCTATATCCTATGCAGTTCTTGCTGAGAATGTCCTTGTTAAACCTTACAGCAATGTCTCCTGTTAATCTAGTTCACTTATCTGATCACATGTCAATGGATCTCTTTGAGAAAGTTGTTACTTAAATAGGTAGAACCTACTTTCTCATTCCTAGGGAAGAAAATAGGATATTAGATGCTTTTTAGACTCTTGTTTTATTTCTCATTAAAATTCGAACAGTATTATCTTCCATGTACCTGTCATGCATTTCTGTTTTCATGCCTTGCATCAACTCTTTGTAAAGGAACCATTTTATGACCTGTTAAATATTGGTAAAACTTCATGTGTATATTTCTTAGGAGAATTAAGCACCTGAAAGTGCCTACATGGAAGATTTTGCAGGATTGGGTTTCGATCAGTTGTTGAATTAACATGCAATTTACATAAGTTAATTGTACCTGGTTTATGTTTCTAATGTGTGAACATTCTTATACCATATGTACTTCCTTTGTAAGCTGCTTAGTAGGAAAATAACCTTTCATGCTTGTCTTACTAGCCAAATGTTTTTCTCTAATTGCCTGACTGCTGACACCATTGAAGCAAGAGCCTGATGCCTGAAATGTTTGTGGTTTATTAAATAAAAAGGAATTAATGTGCATATGGTTTGAGAATTGCATGGTTTAAAATTTTAAAAATAGATCCCAAACCTAACATCAATATAAATGTCTGAGTATTTTTAATTAAATTTTTAAGTACAAAAAAAACAAACCAAAAGTGCTACAACACATAACAACACACTAACTTTTGCAGGTCTGGGGGACTTGAGGGAGCACGTCATGTGAACTGTAGCAATTCAAAGAAAGCTTACATCAAGCAGCATGGAAAAATTATGAGAGAGGGTAAATGCTACAGAGAAAACACTCTTTCTAGCAGTGAGCCACTCTCAGGAGAGCAGTGCTCAAAGCTTTGAGTATAGGTACCTTTTCTTTCCTAGCTGCTTGCAAAGCACAGGAGCTGGAGAAGCATTAGTAGCAGTATCTCAGTACATTGGAGTTAGGGCTCAGCACTCTCAACGGCCATCTAATGAACTACTTTGATGCTTTAAGGGTCCATGTTCCAGAATGATCCTGTAATGGTGGATACATGTGCTGCACAGCTGTTACAGAGAGTTTGCTACTATCTGTGGAAAGTTTTATGTGCTTCTCCAAACTATCACCTGCCTGTCAAAAATTTTCCACAGCTTTCCAGACTTCTCTTCATGTGGGTAAAGGCTTTTATTTCATCCTTCATCAGGATTTCCAAGTGATAGATAATTGCTACTGTTTTGGTATGTGGTTGCTGCTACTTGTGAGGCATTTTGTCTGTCTGGGTGCTGTAGTGTTGTTCATGTGGCCATTTTAAAGACAGGTCCCATATTAGACATACTAAAAAGCTGTCCAGCCAATTCTGTATTGGACAAGTACAGCCCTTTTTTCATGTTAATATTCTTTGTATTACTGTGTCACCTGAGACACACTCAAAGAGGATGACAAGGTCTGTGATACTGTACACAAACCTACAAAACAACTCTTTCATTACAGAAATACCATACCTTCTATGGTAGTTTTCTTGATTTACTATGTATGACCTTGTTTGCTTGTTCTGAGGAATATGTAACAGCTTCTACTAGGAAGACACTTGTCATCTTGTACTGTTTGATGCTCTTTGTCATTTCAGGTGTTGGTACACAAGAAAATAATTTTTCCTTTCCAAAGTCTCATAGTGATCAATTTAAACTTTCTCATCTCTTCTTTAATCAAAAGCTGTTCCAACTTCATCTGTGCCATTCACTTCTATTAGATAATTCTTTTCAGACAGGCTACCTGGCTTACAGTACTGCAGAACAGTGAGATTGCATGTGGCAGTCCTGTGTGAGTGGAACTTGATTTTATTTTTCTACTCTGTGAACTCAGATACCTGATTAGCAGAAGTGGTGATACCAGTTAAAAAATCAGCTTGCACTATTGATTCATGCTAAAGTGGAATGTGAGAGTTTGCTTTAACACTGTTCTGGGTATGAACCAAAATGGAATATGATCATAATTAAATACGATCCCCTGAAGGTTAAATGGCCTGTGTTGAAAAGTGTGTTCCTTAACTTAATTCTAAACCTACACTTGATGTTCATTTATTCTGAGAGGCCCTTTGAGAACAGACTGTAAATTCATGCACATGTCTTTATTTTCATTGATACTTGAAAGAGAACTAGTCAATCTCTTTGTTGTGAGACAATTTCTGGAGACAGTAAGGAAAGCAGTTTCCATGCTCTTTAATTTCTGTAAGCTGACATTTCAAATTAAGCCAAATTCCTTGATTAAAAAGTGTTTTATTGCATTAATTAAATGGCCTGTTGGGGATGCCACATTGTTGGATACCACTTTAGGTGACAAATAAATAATGCAGTGAAAGAGGGAAAACAATGGCAATGGAGGAGGGGAGACTTCTGAAAAGGGGGGAGGAAGAAACACTGTTTATGCACTGTTGGGAGAAAAGTAGGGCTTTTATTTTGTAAATATCTGCCTGTCATCCATTTCCAAATGAACTGAGGATTTTTCTGCTGTTGAACCAATGTGAAGTTAAATGGCAAACAGCAACAAATAAAATGAAAGAAGCTGGTTTTTCAGGTTCCAAGTGATATAGAGAACAAATCCGTGGCCTAAGTTCTAGACTGGGACTTCCATCCTTCTGTGTTAGCATTAGGTTTTTCTAAATATTCCATGTGCAAGTCAGACATTACTAAGTGAAGATATCTTCTCCTTCCTGAGACCATTAAAAATGTATAGACATGGACTAGAAGTAGCCCATATGCCTGCTTTTTTCTCTGTAACCCCCTGAAAGAATAGACTGACTCATTGCAATTTCTCCTTTACTCGATGAGAGTATGTGCTCCAACCAGCTTCATTTGATCTTGAGTCCTTAAACAGGAGACACAGGTCAGAAACTACTATTTCCTCAAAATACTGTGTTAGGCAGTGATTTAAATAGCTACTGCTTAATTACTACAGGGTAGCATAAGATTGATTTAGAAAGACTGCTTTGCAGAACAGAACTATTTTTACCTAGTGTGCAGATGTTACCACTGATGCTTCTGTGGAGGGAAAAATATTGCCCAGGCACAATGGGAGGGAATCCTTGCTTCAGTATCTTAACCTGAAGTGTGACCAAGAGACATGAAGCAGAATGAGAATGCTAAGTGCAGTCAAATGCCAGTGGTCTTGAACACAATTTGAATAGCCAGGTTGTTCTCACAATAACTATAGCTACCCCATTTAACACACAGTCCAGCCAATCCATTTACTTGCTCCTGCTTCTGCCTTGTAGCTTTTGTAGTGTTAGAATCTCAACATTAAAGCAGCTACTAATTCCTCACGTTTGGGCTCTTTCCTAGCGTAAGGCTTTTGAGTGGTAATTGCTGTGAAACCTTTGTGGTGTTACAGACTAAACTACTACAGCAAAGACAAAATTACCTTAGAGAGCAGGGTTTGGATTTAGAATCAAGTTTGAGCCAAGGTTCTTTCTGCAGCAGACCTCAGCAGTGATGATAGCAACCTATGGCTATAAAGGACCTTATCCCAAGATGTCAGATGTTAGTTTTTTTCTGTTCAGCAGTGGGATAGTGTGGCTTTCTTGAAAGCAACCCCTTGTATTGGCATAATAGCAGTCTGATGTTACATCAATCTGAGCTCTTGTAAGTCAGTGTTATTTGACATGCTTGTTTAGTATTATGCTGCTTGTAAAGCTGGAACAACTTGCTGCCTGTTAGTGGTCACTTATAAAGAAAACTACACATGCATGAATGCACAATATAAGCAGCTTACATACCAATACCAGGATCTCACCTGAAATATGGAAAAACTAATCCATATCTTTAGTTCTGCCTTGTAAAATTATTTTCTGGCTGCATGGCAGCAGGCTCAAAACTGACTTGAAACCTACATATGATGCACCAGTTAATTTTGTATGATAAAGCAGTGCTTTTTTTTAAAAAAAGTAGTCATGTCCCAAGTTTCCTGTCTAAGCACATGAAAGGAGAAAGGATGGTAGGTCTGCTTTCATCACTTCAGCAAGGAGCATGTTGAACGGGAATGCATGAACTAACTACACCTTCACTTCAGTATTACTAAAGGCAAAGTTCAGTACTGTAACTTCTGAAGCTGAAATTATTTGCACCCAGTTCGAAGAATGTCTGATACTTGTTTTCCCAAATATGCTTTCCAGGGTTTCACCAGGCTGTTCATATTCACAAGGAGTTTGCTGGTCCTAGAGTCCTCCTGGCCTGCTATAAGATAGTCAGTACCTAGTTAAAAACAAACAAAACACAAACAAAAAAGGTAAAAACTTCAGTCAATAAATAGATGAAAACAGAACTAAAAAACTAAATGCCCATTTTCTCTATTTCATAAGCATCTGGCATGTAGCATCTTAGCCAGCTTCATCCCCTTTATGCATGTGCCACCTTATGTATAAACATACTTTCATGTGCTGACTCCTGGACACACAGGTTCAGTGTTCTCAGATGATTATGCTCAACTACACATTGATTTAGATCCAGTGGCCTTCCAGTTTACACATTCAACTCCTTGTGCAGACAGCCAGGTTTGAGTCTGATCTTCAGCTACTGTGACTCCGTGTGTGTCAGTAGCCTTACCCCTGGCTTGTTTGGGAGGGCAGCAGAATTTGATCGGAACAGATGGGGGAGGGGGTATTATATATGAAAATAGTAAGCTAGACTTCCTAGACGATAACCTTAAGGCACATCCATGGCAAGTTATGTGTGAGGTTTTGCACACAGATCTGTAGGGGTCTGGTGGCAGTTACTTATGCCTTTGTCCCTCCTGCCACTATTGCCCTCCTTCTTGAAAGTCGTGTGCTGGAAAGCAACTGCTAATGCAGTGATGGGCACCTGTCCATAAATATCATTTATAACGAGATAATGGCAAAACACCTGTATTTCTAGCATCTACATTTCTGATGTCTGGGCTTTTTGGTAAAACCTTGTTCTCTGGTAAGCAAATGTTTTTTACTGCAGCTGTATATTGATTCCCTCTTTGGTATGGATGAACCAAAGGACTCTGTCGTGAAAAAACTGATGGGAAATTTTGAGTAGCCATAGCTAATGTTCATAATGAATTGTCACCCCTGTTTACAGGGGAACAAAAATACCCAGTAAGCATTTTGTCCTTACCTGGATTGAGAATGGGACAAGTACATCCCCTGTTGGTCCAAGATTCTGGGTAAATGCTTCTGTTGCTTCGAGCAATTTTCACTTTGCCTGCTTTCAGAACCTTCTTCACTTTCACAACAACTTCTGCGTGGGTCCCTTTGTCATGAGCTGATAGGATTCTTGCTTTTATCACTGCCAGAAAACATATCATAGTAGACAACTACAATTCATTTTGTTTTATGTTGCTAAAAGTTAGAATTTTAACACCTTGAAAGAAGATATCAAGAAAATGCTGCAGTTGTGCAGAAGGTGCATACCAGTGTTATCCACTTCTGTCATTTCTAAATATGGAGAAGAAAAACTAGATTTTTCTATTGAGGTAGTTAACTGGTCTTCTCACCCTGTTATTTAGCAACTCTTTAATGGCATGATGTCAAATGCTTGGAAATCATAGGAAAGCACTTGTACGTAAACATGAGAAGGGTGGAAAAAACAGATCATCAGCTAACAGTCTGGTTTTAAGTGTACTAGTTCTAGGCTTTATATTTTACCATTTGAAAACTTCTGTTTAGCTTTTACACTGGCCTCTCAAAATTTTTGTCCTGTGGGAAGGGACTGTCTGCTCTACAGGAAGGAAGTCAGGAAGTTTCCCACCAGACTGCAGCCGTGTCACATGGCTAAAATTCCATGATTGCAAAACAAACTAAAAAAAGCATTTTTGTTTTGTGGCCCAACATCTGGTTGCCATGATAAATTTCTGTTCCTTTAATTTAAAAAGATCCCATAACTTTTTGGCAGGGTAGTCTCATCTGGATTGGCTCCACATGCAGGCTTTGTTGTGTCATGACACAAGCACATCAAACCTTTGGATCCCAGAGCTTTCCTTTCTTCCTTCATGCGATGGCATGAACCAGGTGTTCATTAACTACATTATTAAATAAATTCTTGATAAACAAACATGGCCATTTGAACCTGCAGAATGAGTGCAAAAACAATGGCAGTTTAGATGCAAGGTTTATATCATTTGTTCTTGATGTAGAAGCCAGCCATTCTACTGAGTTACAATTCCAGCATTCCT